TAGGATACTAGTTACCTAATCGTAACCAGGATTGGCTGAAATAACCCTTTGATCTTATGCTCTATCTCTAAGCGAAAGGGCAGAATAAGGGCTTACCCTGCCTGCTGGCAGCTGCCGCTTCCTGCCAGGAGTGTATGCACATCACTGGAGCAGAATGCAGCTATAACATTTATGCAGGTTTCGCATAGCACTTGACTATGGATATCTTCTATAGTCCAACAACAGCAACAACAAAAGACTATGAGCTCATTGTGCAAAATCCAAAAACAAATGTGGGCAATATGTTTATTAGACCATTGAAAGCTTGCAAACAGGCCACATTCAATTTTGGAACTTACTTTAACCAAGACAGCTGGTCTTCAACATCTCACTCTTTGTTGGTGTCATCTTCCTTGCCGAAGTTGATTACCATCAAGGTGTACGATTTGGGAAACATTTCGGCAAACTCTGTAGTGACCAGCCTGATGGAGAGACCTACTAGATTTGAAGATTAGTCTGTCCAACAACAATTGCTCTTGATCTACAGAACTTACATTTCTAATAAAATACAATTGTTGGAGGAAAGCTTCCAGTCAGAGTGCCGGAATACCCTCTTGTTACTGCTGCCAGATGTTCTCCAAAATCATGTGAGAGCCAAGGATCTGTAAAAAGAGCCAGCAGGACTAGACAATTGGCACATAAACGGAATTTCTTCAGGCTGTCTTGGCTGAAAATGTTTGGTCTTGGGTGCATTTTCCTCTTCTGTTCTTCTTAAGCCAGGTTCTCCTGAGACTGAGCATTGGTTTTCCTATATTCTGCTTATCTGCTGGGCAGTGCATATTTTCCATGCAGTATATTGAAGCTGTTTGTCAGTTCTGGGTGATGTGTCTTTTGACCCTCCATGCCTGTAAATCTAGCAGAACTGAAAATCTACCCTATACCATGGAAAGTGTGTAGTCTTTAAATATCTATGCTGTATCTGTCACCCCCTTTTCTTTCTTCCTACATGCATCAGCACTAACACACATTTTATAGTACAAGTGGCACTGGAGTGGGACTCAGAAGACTGGGGGTTTGCCATGAAACTCAGTGGCAACCTTGGTTGATCCATACATCCTCAGCTTGATTTATCTCAGAGGGTCTTTGTGAGGATAAAGTGGGAAGAAGAATAGAATCATGTACACTACTTTGGAAAGTGTATAAATATAACTAATATTAATAATATTTGCAGCTTTCATTTACTTATGTTGGTGCCTCAGGGAATTCCAGTTGCCCTCCTGGTTGTCTCCCGCCAACAGCCATTAAGAGTAAACTGTCAGAGCATGCTTACAGAGAAAGGACCTCAGGTTCATCCCTCATTTCTTGGCTCTGGAATTGGAAGACCCCAAGCTTCAGCCAGAGGAGGCTATTCAGTTTCATGGTTGAAAGCAGGAGAAGTTCTCTCCAACCCACAGGCTTCCAGAAATACCTGCTCTTTGACCATTGCTTCCCCTGTTTAGACACTTCAGAGCTTCTTTTTCTTCCCAGCTCACCTCATTTCACAGCCACAGGGTCCCTCCACAGTTGACTAGCAGCCCTCCAGTTCACAGTGCAGAAAGGATCTCTCTCTGTGTGGGCTGCCTGCTTTAGATCAGAAAGCCTTAGGCTGCCCAGTTGTCTTGGCTGGCGGGTGTCCCAGATGTTATCCTCCAAAAATAGCCCCATCTGTACACGAATGGGTTGCTGTAAGTCTGGGACTGTTAACTTTCAGGGAGAGTAATGATGTTTGCTATTAGTGGAAGTATGCCGTGCTTTACAGAAAAAGGGAGCTTTATATTTTGGAATTTGGAATTTTATTTTTGCTTTTATTTTGAGGAGAGAGCAGAGAGGAGCTGACAGCCAGCATTATACAAATGTCTATCCTGAGCTCTTTTAGCTGTTTGTATGTCTATATACAAAGCTATTTATTTCCTGGTGATAATGACACCCTTCACTGCTCTATTTTTTTTCCTTGATTGACATTTTTAACTATAGCATGTAAATAACTGAAGTAATGCCTGGGAGACTGTTTTTTACAACTAACACATCCCTCTCATCTGATGATACGCAACCAGAGTGGTCGAAATGACTAGATAGGCGGGGTATAAATACAATAAATAAATAAATAAATAAACAAACAAACTAGGTTTAAGGGGTATTAACAGGATGAAGAGGGCTTGATCAGTAACTAACTGTATGCAACCGCTTTGAATATGAGCCAAATCAACAGTCAGACTTCTTCTGCCTGTGTAGTGACTAGCAAAGATGATAGATGTTTTATTTGATACATGGTGATATGCTTGAAATAACTGGCCAGGGCTTCTGGCAACCTTGCAAAAAAAAAGCTTTGATGATATCTGACATTAGTTTAAGTCAAGGCTGGGATACCTGTTGGGCTTTAGTTCCCATCAGTTTTAGCCAGCCCAGCTATTGGCGAGTTAAGATAAGAGTAGCCATTTATCAATATCTAGAAGGCCAAAGGTACCCCTGCCTTGATTTTGTGCAGTGTTCTTGAGTGTCATCCTGAGCAAATGGGAAGTTTCCAGTGAAAGGAAGGAAGGTAATAAATGCATCACTGCAACCATTTCAGACTTGTTTGTTTGTTTAAGGACAACACCCCTTGAAACATACATACATATTTATTCAGTTGGTTGATTTAACATATTTTAATGTTAATGTCTTAATTTATTGTGGGTTTCCATATATGTAATGTTGTTGTTGTTGTTGTTGTTGTACACTGCCTTGTGTCCCTTTATTAGGAGAAAGCCTGGATAGTGACTGACTGACTGACTGACTGACTGACTGACTGACTGAATGAATGAATGAATGAATGAATGAATGAATAGAATAGAATAGAATAGAATAGAATAGAACAGAATATTTTACAAAGCTCATCAAAGCCACAGACTTCCAGAAGTGCCTGCTTCTTGTTTACCAACCCCTCTTCCCTGAGAAGTCCTCAGGGTTTCCTTTCTCTATTTCTCTCACTTTACGCTGCCGCCTGCAAATGGCCTTAGACTTCCCATTTGGGACTGGCATCAGTTCATAGTACAGGGAAGATTGGGGGGGAGGGGACTGCCTGGTTTAAATCCAGAAAATCTTAGGCTGTGCGGTTGTTTCGCTGACAGGTATCCCAGATGTTGTCCTCCCAAAACAGCCTCTTATATACAGGAATGGGTTGCTACAGGTCTGGGAATGTAACTTTCTGGGAAAGAAATGATGTTTGCTATTAATGAAAATATGCCATTTGAAAGAAAAATGATGTTTTGCATTTAGCAATTCTTTCCTGTCCTTTTGGGGAATAGGGCAAGCAATTTATAAATGCCTATTTCGAATTTATGAGCAGTTTATGTTTCTATCTAGAGAACCATTTTTCCTAGGTTTTGTTGTTGTTCTTCCTAATGTCTATTAGATGTTTTTGCTCTGACATTTGTAAAGTATGGTATGAACCCCACAACCTGGTTTTCTCACTTCTCTTTCTCTTGCTTCTCTTTCTTACCTCTAAGCTGGGGACAAGGGTGAATGCGGCAGTCTGACACATCTGTCTGGTTATCTTACTTGAGTGTGTGTGTGAGAGAAAGGAAGTGACTGGACAACAGCTCTTTTCTCAGCCTGTGGGCACCATGGGACACCTGTCAGCCTCCTTCAGATTTACAAGAGGTGTGCAAGGACACTGGCCAAAATCCTATTAGGGTTTGCATAACTTTCCGTGGCTGACTGTGGCTAATTTATGAGATGTTGGGGCACTTCTTCATTGTGCAGGCAAGTGTGTCTGACACCCACCCCAGCACAGTTTAGTATGGCCAAAACTTTATGTGAGCACCAGTAAGATTCTAAACAATGATTACTCTTCCTCAGATTCCCAGTTTGTCAGAGAGATAATCCCCAAACTAAGGGCAATACTATTAACAGAGAAGTTGGAGAAGAAGCCCACAGTGGCACAGAAGCAATATTAACTTGTGGGTTCATCCTTTTGATCATTACCAGAGCACACACACTCCCTTTGTACATGATTCACATCCACACTTCAAAGAAAATGAGAATGCTTGTGTCTACTACACAAGTACATTTTGTTCTGACTAGCTAGGATGGGGATGTCAGAAGCCATGGCTTTCCCTTTGATCTGAAGAGAACAAAGGCAAGATGTCTTCTCTTTGGAGGAATAAGACAAAGGTGCGAGAAAGACAGGGCACCAGCAATTTTAAGAATAGTAGTAAAAGGTTGAAGGCATTCACTACAGGTAAAAGTCTAGTGTTTGTGAGAAGGTCCTTCATCTGAAGTTTCTTTTCCCCATGCAAAGGCATGCATCTTCTTGAATATAAGCTGAGGAGTATCCAGTCATTGGGAGTTTTTAAAAAAAGACAATAACCAGAAATGGAAGGAGAAGAATCCATGACTTGTCAAACAGGTTTTTCATCTTGCTTTATATAAACACAGTGACATAATGTGTATGCAAAACATACTTAATTTTGCTACAATAACCTCAAATAGCCAGCCACAGCAGTTACTATGTTAGTTTTACACAGCTGGGAAATGTTGATCCTTAGTGTCATTTTTAGAGTAAATTCTGGGGAATCTTGATCATCTGCATTGCGCTGAAAATCGAATACGCTGGCAGGAAACAAATTGACTATATCCATGTTACAGCAATATCTGTTTATGATTATTTAGGGCTTGTTTAACTTTCAGGGGTCAGTGGCACAGAAGAATGAGATCTTTCATGTTTAGAGCATCTAAAGGGCATAAAAACATTTACCTTATAGAGCATTTTCAACAATTGAATATTAAAGGAAATAAATTAAAAAACATATTAATACTTCCTCTGATTATAGGACTGATTGCTTTCAGAGCATTTGAAATCCTTGCAGCATCATGTCTGCTATCGCCATCATTACTTTTTTTTTAAAAAAAGGATTAAATGTCTGAATCCATAGAATGGGAAGCTGTTGAGTGAATATCTGACATTGCCCTATTTCACCCCTATCTGCTCTGGTGTTTTGCAGGCCGATGCTGGTTGGACGCCTTGGAACTGGCCTTGCGCTGCTCCAGCCTCTTCAGGCTCAGTGCATCCAAGCAAGGAAAGGATAGTGATATGAACTGCTCAACTGATTCTTCACATGCTGGGCTATACAACCTGCTACACACAGCTACAATCTCTGACCAAGAACTTTTCCAGTAAGGATGTGTTTTTGTTCATTCCGTCTATTCTGAAGTTTGTAACATTCCGATGGAAGAATTCTTTCTTAATTCATCTACTTTCTCTTTGCTGTAGCTAGCCAGGCCACAGCAGAATACATGAAAATTGTTTTGTAATAAGAGGATGATTTTATTTGAACTAGGACAGTGTCCAGATGGCAAGGGATCCTTTGTTGTATACCTATCACCCTGTGCACAGCCTTTTGGAAAGTTGCATGTTTTTTTGTGGGGGGTTTGGGGGGGGGTTTGAAACACAACTTTATGCCTGTTTACAAAGAAGCAAGTCCTGCTGTATTCAATGAAGCTTACTTGCATCATATTGCAGCTTCAAAGTTAAAACATACCCATGATGTCACAGATTCATGAACAAAAGCTTGGAAACATTGGCTTTTGAGCTACAGCTTTCAGTATCCGCATCAAGGTGTGGGAGTTATAGTCCAAAACAGTAACTTTTTCAAACTACACTCTTTAGCACAAAAATATAAATTTATGTAGTATACCTTATAAAATATATCAGATTTTTAGTGCTTTGTTGAAGTAAACAAAACAAAACCTTGTAGACTGGAAAGTAGATTCCTTTTAGTCTGGTCTGAATAGCTGCAGCCCCAAAATGCTTCCGGGTCACTAATGAAGAAGAAAAAGAAGTTTCCGTGTTTTGAAGTAGGCGTGGCTGCACAGGGGTAGATGTATGGACTTGTTTAGCATTTGGCCCACCAGCACATCAGTTGTTGTACATAAGCCGCACATCAGTGCATAATGACAGAACTGGGAAGCAGAATGAAGTCACTGCAGCAGTCATTCTGCACTGAGTAATATATGGGAGAGGGAAGAGCATCCACAACCAGCACTGGCCCGATTATTGGGCAGAGTGAGGCAGTTTCCTTAGGCAGCTGATGTCAGATCACATAGAAGGAGTAGCAGAAGCCTCTTTCCGATTGTTCCACTCTGTAGAACAGGGGTAAGCAAATAATTTCTATAGGGGGGGGCACATGAAAAATCTGAACTGTGTTTGGGGGCCGAACCAACTTTACTTAAAAATGAAATGAAACAGTGATGTTATGATTGATTTTATTTTAAACTTGTTAATCTTCACAAATACTAAAGAGTTTTTTTGTGGTATGTTAAAGATAAGCAACTGATCAACTTTAGACAAAAAGCTATAAATGGTTTTGATGTTCAGCTTGTTCAGTGAGAGAAATCCAGTCTGTCTTGGGCTTGAACAAGTGCTTGAACACCGGACTGGAGCGACGACCGGCGGGCCATACAGGAGCGGCTCGCGGGCCGTACATGGCCATCAGGCTGCACTTTGCCCAGGTCTGCTGTAGGAGGACAAAGCAGTGTGTTGTAGGCCTATCCCACATGCCCTAAGCTAGCTTGCTGCCCTTGGGTAAGTTAAGTTGGTGGATGCAGTCCCATCAGTAATGTTGGCATAGATTTCATTGCTTGGCAGGTTGCTCTTGGTAGGTGGATATATGGGCAGTAGTATCTCATGGCCTGTTCTGCTTCCAGTGGTTTTTCAATGCTGTATGGTTTTCTAGAGTCCATAGTAGTTGTTTCTCCTGCTTCTTTTTCCTGTAAAGTTATAATGGTAGAGGATACTTGCATCTATTATT